CGAGGAAGACGATAGACTGCACCGTTCATACCATTTTCAGTCGCTACTTTTCGTGCAATTACTCCTTTTGAGCATACACATACTATTAATCGAGTCAAAACGACCTCATAAATTCGGACCGACTCACCTTCGTCTTCATAATCTTCTTATTCTCAAATACGGTTTGCCTACGTAATGGGACAACAACATGTAAGGAAGCCCAAGGTAAAGTCGGGCTTCCGCGCTAGTTATTAATAGTTTTCAAGGCCCCTATAAATTCAAAACTCGAAAACTTACATTAACATGCTTTTTCTTATACTCATTTGGTAGCACATAACACCTGCTTCGAACTTTATACTTGAAGAAAGGTTATCGTTCAGTTTTAAGAAAGGTTCATATTATGAGCTGTTTTGCTATTGGGAATTTGTTATTCATAGTATATCGAATACAGTTATTTTTTTTTGCGTATAGGGTAGATAAAATAAGTAACATCAGTTGTAAAATTTTACAAGCACTATACTACCCTTCCTTATAACGCAAATAAACCTGCAGAATGTATAATAGTCTTGTAATCTTGAAAAACCTAAATACAAGTTGGATCCACAACTATTCACCAGCTTAAAATTTTTTTAAGCCAAAATACACCCTTGCTTCAAGTCCAACTTTGAAGAAGCCGTCATTTACTACTAAGCAAATACATGAACAATATTCTTTGCTAATTGTCTGTATGATTAATTTGAAGGTATAGGAGCACTCAGTCACTAAGAAAAATGCTCAATAATTGAGTAGCCATTTTGTGTAGAGTATGTTTTTGACAGACGGTGAAAGAGAAGCTCGTTCAAAAGCCCGCACACTGGCGGGACGGAAATATCTTCAGATTAGGTTTCATGGTATTCCATACTGCAAACCTACTTAAGTAGTTTGTTCGAATGTAAAGAACACGTTTTAGAATTTTGTTTGATAGGGATTTTTCTGCACTAAAAAAGCTCAAAAAGCTCGAAATACATCTGCTCCAATATACTTTCATCTCGTAAAACGAAACTGGCGTTTCACTGAGAACAAAACGGAGGAGCTAGTGTTCGATTACGGGTTTTAGTTCCCACTTAATTGTCCCATCAAAAAAGCCTACTTTCAAGAGCAGCCTGTGCCTACCTCCAGCCAACAGTGTCTTCCACGCCTCGCCAGACTTTTTCTCCTCCTCAGTAAAGTCATCAGGGACCAGAATGCCCTCACCAATATCCACTGCAGACGACTTCCGCCAGTAATGGAATATGTCCTTGATGTTGGAACTGCCGGAGAGCAGGAGAAAATCCCTCCACTCCTCATAGTCAATCGACAGGGATCCATCCTTGTCCATCTTGCGCAACAACTTTGCAGCCTCCTTCTCCCCCACCTCGATGCCCAGCTCCCGCATCGCCGCTCTTATCTCACTGGCATCCACCTGGTTGTCCTTGTTGCGGTCCAGCTGCTTAAAGGCCAGCTTCAGTTGGGTCTCCGTGTCACGCACGTATTCCACAAACTCCGCAAAGCTCATAGTCGGTGCAGCTCCGGTAGCATCAGCAGTGGCGGTCTTCTGTTTCTTGCCATCTCTGGTGATAATCCGCGTGGCAGCGGCTTCACCGCCAGTGGTCTCCGACCCCTGACCGCCAC